GAGCAGCGTTGTTACATCGTGAACTGCCAACACGAAGAGAATTGTAAACCTAAAAAAATTGAAACTGTGAAGTCCTATCTTACTTTTGTGCTGAGGCCTTCTGAGAGGCCAGCCTCGCTGCTAGGACTTGGGCAAGTGATCCCAAGCATGGTCCACTCTGTGAGACACCAGAATGAGCCGTCTGAGGAATTGAGTAGCCTGAAGAAGTTGTCTCTGCTTGGCAAAGATCCCAGCCTTGAGGAGATGCCTGAATACATCGATGATTATAAAGAGTTGGAGGAGGACCCATTTCAGGTGGGCATCAAACGTGAGCAGAAGGAGAGCACAGATTATGCTGACTGGGGCCTGATGGTGGCAGATGAAAACGGCTTCAACACTTCCACGGGTGATGACGGAGATAATCAGGAAGACTTTGCTGAAAAGAAAGGGGAGGCTGTGAAGGTGGAAAGCCTTCTGAATAAAAACATGTCTGAATTGAACTCTGTCGCTGAACACTCCATAGGCGGGTTGTCATCCCTCCTGGAAATTACACCATTCCCTGGGAAGACATTCGAAAGGGAAGCAGCTGTTCAACTTCTTGCACAACCTGATGATGCTTTGCAAAAAGAGGTACGTTTGCCCCTCAGCGAGCAGAGTATAGTGAGGCTACTTGGCAGTTGTTTTGTTTTTCAAATCTTTGAAAATCTTAGATTATTGCTTTGTAATATTACAACACTCAAATGACTTACAGTCCTGCTACAGTGTAGAAAAGGCTGAAGGGGAGAGGATTGTCTTAATAGGCAGATAAATCACCAGAGTTTTTTTTGTTTTGTTTTTAATCAGATGATAAGGAGCAGAGCACCTTTTGGGGCACTGTGGGGTTTCCTTGGAAGTGTACAAATGAGTGAGCTTGGAACCTGGTGTAATAGTGTTACAGTCATCTTCACTTCTGACCCATGGTGACTCACTGGAAGAAGTTCGCAGGGCCATACTAGTGGGTGCTCTATTATTCAAAGGCCAAGACCAGTAAGCATAAGTTCAATAAGAACTTATATGTGGCAATAAGAAAAGTAAATTAAAAACTTAAAATCTCATGTATATATTTAAGTGAAATGGACCTGTTCTCTTTTTATGCCAACCGGTTTGATCAGCTGAGACCAAAGGGGCCTTGGTGTCTTAAGAACAGGGTGGGATCAGTTGAAAAGTTGAAACAGGCTATAAATTCAACATTCCCTGGGTTTGACACTACTGCCAGAAAGAGGAAATTAAGCAATGTTAGCTGACTTGCTCTAAATTCCACCAGATTTTGTAACCAGCAGTTACTTGTCACTTTCTGTAAAAACTGTAATTTATTGACATTACTGTAGGGAAGAAGAATACAAGTTAATAAGGAAGTTGCTTGAAAAGTGTGACAACTGAGATTCTTGGAGGGAATGACTAAAACGGAAAAAGTATGTGAGGAGAAAAGCAAGTCTTTCTGTAATGTCTAACTTGGATACCATTGCAGCCTAGGGGTGTGGCAGTTTCTGATATCTGCTTTGAGATCTTTCAGATGTTTAAAGAACTATTTTTGGGGGGTATCTGGGAATGTTCCAGCAGGAGCAGGGCAGTGATCCTTCCCCTGTACTCTGCGTTGGTGAAGCCACACCTTGAGTATTGTGTTCAGCTCTGGGCCCCTCAGTTCAGGAAGGACATTGAGGTGCTGGAGCGGGTCCAGAGAAGAGCAATGAGGCTGGTGAAGGGACTGGAGCACAAGTCCTGTGAGGAGAGGCTGAGGGAGCTGGGGTTAGTCTGGAGAAGAGAAGGCTTAGAGGTGACCTCATCGCTCTCTTCAACTACCTGAAGGGAGGTTATAGCCAGGTGGGGGTTGGTCTCTTCTCCCAGGCAACCAACAATAGGACAAGAGGACATGGGCTCAAGCTCTGCCAGGGGAGGTTTAGGTTAGATGTTAGGAAGAAATTCTTTACAGAGAGGGTAATCAGGCATTGGAACGACCTACCCAGAGAGGTAGTGGATGATTCTATTCACCATCCCTGGAGGTTTTTAAGCAGAGATTGGATATGGCCCTTAGTGCCATGATATAGTAATTNGGAGCAGGGCAGTGATCCTTCCCCTGTACTCTGCGTTGGTGAGGCCACACCTTGAGTATTGTGTTCAGCTCTGGGCCCCTCAGTTCAGGAAGGACATTGAGGTGCTGGAGCGGGTCCAGAGAAGAGCAACGAGGCTGGTGAAGGGACTTGAGCACAAGTCCTATGAGGAGAGGCTGAGGGAGCTGGGGTTGTTGAGTCTGGAGAAGAGAAGGCTTAGAGGTGACCTCATCACTCTCTTCAACTACCTGAAGGGAGGTTTTTAGCCAGGTGGGGGTTGGTCTCTTCTCCCAGGCAACCAACAATAGGACAAGGGGACATGGGCTCAAGCTCTGCCAGGGTAGGTTTAGGTTAGATGTTAGGAAGAAATTCTTTACAGAGAGGGTAATCAAGCACTGGAACAGCCTACCCAGAGAGGTGGTGGATTCACCGTCCCTGGAGGTTTTTAAAAAGAGATTGGATGTGGCCCTTAGTGCCATGATATAGTAATTGGAGTTGGATCAGGGGTTGGACTTGATGATCTTGGAGGTCTTTTCCAACCCAATCTATTCTATGATTCTATGATTCTATGAAATGGGTGGTGGTTGTAGCTGGGAGGGGAAAGCTAGCAGAGGCTGGAGCTTCTAGCAGCTTCTCACGAGCTCTGTCTCCTGAGAGGAGAAGGAATAAGTTAGAAAGCAGGGTCACAACCACGGGCTTTAGTAGAGCAGTCTTTGGCCTCTTGTAGGATCTGTTTGGAAGACTCCCAAGGGAGATTGTCCATGAGAGCAGGTTGCTTTTTGAGGATTACTTCCTCTAGGCTCAAGATAACCTATGACTTTTATGATTGTCTAATTTGGTCTGGAGTGTACTGGCACGAGTGAGAAGAGATTAGAACTCATCTTCATGTGTATGAAAGGACATTTGATAGCAGATCAAGTGCTGTTGCAAGTTGAAAAGTGGGTACTCATTCTACAAGCAGAGTTGATGATGGGAGACTTGTTTTTAAAAAGTTTCTACCATGCACGCCTTGAAATGAGCATAATTAACATACACCACTGCTGTGCTATAGTTTACCAGCATTTTTTAGTTACTGCCTGTGCTGTGTGCTGGAAATGAAGCCACAGCAAGAACCTGTGGTAGCTCCCTGTACCACCGCGTTTGTGCACTGTGGGCATGCAGTAAGACTTGAAACTTGCCTCTATTGCATTTTTCTGTCAAATGGAAGACCTGTTAGCACTGTGCTAAACTTCAGACAGTTGTCAGGATCTCTGCTGACTGAACTGCTTGTGCCTTCTGCCTTAGGGAAGCCGTGAAACTTTGAGTTCACCTAAACTATGTGGCAGAGCTGAGCAAGTTTGCTCCCTGTCTCTAAGGGATCGTGTGATTACCATTTTATGAAAAGTTGAGACTTCACATCCTGCAGCGGTAATAACATGTATGGTCAAGCCTACTTTTTAAATCTCTACTTTGATTTTGCCACCCCAGCCAGAATAGAAAGATTTTTCTTTCTGTTTATGCACTGACTGTGTAGATGGGTGTTTATTGTAAAATGAAATGGAGGAAAACCTATTTCTTATTGGGGCACAGAAGAGTCATTCTTTTGTGATCTTTATATTAAGCTAAGTATAATTATAGTATATTATATATATAAATATATATATATATATATAAAATATATATTTATATATAAATATATATAAATATTATATATATAATATATAAATATATATAAAAATATTAAATATATAATATATATAATATAAGTATATTATGCTAGCACAGCCACTGAAATTCCAGTAGAAAGGCTGAGGAATGAGGTTGCTTCTTTCAGTGCAGAAGGGATAAAACTCCAAGCCTAGGTCAGTCTTTAGCCCCAGCTGGTAGTGATGCTGAGGAGCTGGTAAGACAACTGTAGTTAGAAGGTGATCGGGAAGTGCTCAGTGAGCAGAGCTGCAGAAGAGGATTGGTGGGATAGCACTGGAAGCTGTTCATGACATGTATGGATAAATTACTCTAAAGACTCTCCATTAATGTAAAGAAAGAATCTGGAGAAGCAGAAGGTGCAAAGGTGCAGCCTTTGTTTCCCAAGTGGGAATCGTTTGAATTTAGGCATTTGTAGAGAAAAGGAGATGATGAGCAAGCCTTTCCCTGGCCTTCTCCAGAATCAACTTCAGTCCAGACATGTTTTTTCCCTTCCTAGTCTCCACACCCCTTCTTTTCACTGTGGTTTATACTCAGTCTCTTTGGTGAGATGACAGGTGGCACAGGAGGTTGGAGTCAGTGCGTGGCAGTTTCCTTTTTGCCACTTACTGCTTATTTCTCTTTTCTGTTGCTGTTCCTTCTTTCTTGTTTCATCTCTGGTATGGGCTTTTCTGTGTGCCTCAGTTCTTTGGGAGGTGGCATGAAGTGCCTGTTTCCAAGAGGGTGTCTCAAGCCCTGTGCCCAATAGTGTTCATTTCCAGATGTTCCCTCTCATTTCTCCTTTTGTGCAGGAAACTTTACTTGTGACCCTGGTGAAAAAGGCCTGTGACAAATTCTGGTGATAGGTTTTCCCTCTTAGGTGTTTCTCCAGCAAGCAGACATTTTAATCAAATCTCATATGGATTGTTCTGCACATATTTATGTTTCCTTCTGAAAAAAAAGTTTTTTTGGAAATCAAATTTTATTATAAAGGAAATCTTAAGTTTTACACTGGGTTAAAAATGTGAGATATCCCCAAATAGTTTTATCATTGGCTTATTATCCAAGCAACCTCTCAAACTGTGGTCTTTCTGTAGCGCTATGAAAGTGTGAAGGTCTTAAAATCACATTTGCTAATAACTTTAATGAATTACCCTGTTTATTACATGTTATACAATGTTTTCCTATCATCCTCTTAATTCTGCCAGTGCAATTCTCTATCTCCTAGATCTGTGCTGACACACTCCCTTCTGCAGCCTCCAAACAAAGCTGTTTTGACAAGCCAGACAGAGCAGGGTGGCAAAAATGTGATTCCCTCCCTTCCCAGTAGTCAGCAGGATGCAGTGTCCTCAGGTGCTGTGTTCTTTGAGCAAGGACCTGGAGACAGATTTTAAACTGAGAGACCAACCAAGCACAGACCTCCAGAGTCTGTGCCCTTGGACCATCCTTGCTGTAAGCGCAGTCAGGTGCAAAGGATTTCTGTGTGTGACTTGGATAGAGAATTTTTGTCATTTAACTGACACTGTTGGGTTTTACATCAGGCTTCAGAGTGATCTTACAGACTGTCACCGTCTAGCAGCTCAGTAACATGAATACATTTAGAAATCTGTACAGAGTATGTGCTGCCAAGCTGCCCAGAACAAAAATCTGCAGTGCTACCCGTCCCTGAAGTGTAATGTATTTAATCATCTTTTTAAAATTTCCAGTTAGCTGCTGATCTGCTAAGGTCTCTAAGGTTTTTCAGGTCTTAATTTCTAGCTGCTGCTGTGTTGATGCTGCAGTGTTTCAAGCGTTTGTTCAGTAGATTAGGCCTGACTTGCTTCTTGAGCTTACTGTAGTTGCAGGAATAATGGTGTAGTCAAAATGCATAAAGCTCTACCTAAGAAACCTTAAGATGGCTGACAGACTTTATGTCATGGTGAGCCTTTTAATATCTAATTGGCTTGCCTTCAGAACTGATATTTAAGACCTAGAATGAAGTTCAGTATCAGAGCTGTTCATACATTATTTTGGCTTTGTTTCAGTTTTGAGGCCCTCAGATGCCAAACGGTTCTGTTTGGTTAAAAAGGCATTGATTTGTTCTCTAGGATATGTACAAAACCTCTGAAAGTTGTTTAAATTTTTAGATTTGCCTGTCAAAACGGTAGATTTTTCTTGAAGTCTGCACTACCTCTCATACTGTATGATGGTTTGCTCTTTTTGCAGCGCCCCAACTGTACAATTAGAGATCGTGCTTGCATGAAATCATTAGGCAGGTGGCTGAATGCAGAGAAGCAGTGAGAAGCAGACCAGTGCAAGAGCAGAGTTTCGTTGCTGACAGTGCTGCTTTCCATAAAGTTTTGCAGATAAATGAGGAAGAGGAAATGGTACTGCAGTTAAGTAGTGGTCTTATGTGCAGGGGGACATGGAGGAATCACTCCTGGGGAAGCAGTTCCTATGAAGTGCAACATTAGCAGCCCTTGACTCTCCAGGGTCCTGATCACTTGTCTGTTAGGAGTACTTGAGGAAGATGTTTCCTTGAGGGGGAATGTTGGGTTGCCTGCAGGATCAGGATGGAGTAAGGAAACATGGTAGGGTTCATCCTTCATATTCACAGGGTGGGGGTGGGGAAAGGGTACCCGATCTGTTGGGTCAGCCAGAGACCAGAAGTGAAAAAGGATCCTCCTTGGCATAATACTGTTGCCTGCAATGTAACTTTGAGCTGCAGGAAACTGCATGACACTTTTTGTTGTTGTTTTGGTGGGATTTTTTTCCCATTTTGGTATATGGGAGTGTTTTCAACCTCTATTAGAATTCTCAAGAGATTTGCATTCAAGTCATACCCTGAGAACTGAAGGATGTGGGCCCTCATCATTGATGTGTTTGTAGCAAGCAGTAGTGGCTGTACAAATGGGTAAAAACAAACAACCCACAAAGCCCATACCAGCAGAACTGCCTACCCTGCTCACTCTCAGAAAGAATCCTTCTTTTCTTTCTTTCTCCTTTCACTTTCCGTCTGGAATTAAGGTTAATCTTGCCTTCCACATCTGCTCCAGCAAATTTCTCAGTGATAGTTTCTGCCTGAGAACTCAATTTCTGATATTGTCCCTGCCCCAGTTGTCTGCTGCCTGCTAATGTTTTCAGTTTAAGCTGTCTTTTTGGCTGTGACGCCGCTTCAGACGTGCCGTGCCACAGGGCACCTTTTCTGACTGCAGCATCTTGCCTAGGCTTGCTGACTGAAGTGATGTTTGGTGCCACTGCAGAAGAGAGTGTCCCTGGAAAGGTACGTTTGAGGTGACTTTGTCTCCATCTGTCCTGCAAAGCCAAGAGGGCTGCTTTTCAGCTGTGCTTCTCAGCTGATGGATTGCCAAAGGGTCAGGAGAGGAAAACAGCTCGGGGAAGCTCAGAAAAGTAGGTTGCCCTCAAATTTGGAATGGAAGGAATTTGTTTTGCCCAAGTGTGATAAAGATCCTTCTGGAAGATGTGGAATGGAGCGATTATGTAAAGCAGAGCTGTCTCGAGGGAAGACCTTTAGTCAAGATATGAGGCATGATGCACTTGAAGCTCTCCCTGCGCATGATAATGTTGTCCAGGGTGAGATTCCTGCTGAGGGTCTGGAGTTGGCGTGCTGAAGGCACTGCTTTAGGGGAGCTGCAGTCCCTGATGCTGCTGTCAGTGTCCCACCTGCTCAGACAGATCCTCTTACTGTCTGCATATCGAGCAGAGCTGAAGGTGTGACCACAGAGGTGCATGCATTGTCTGCATTATGGATTCATTCATCTGAAGGTGCAACTCTTGATGTGGTCCTCAGCATCCTCACACAGAGGTCAGCCACAATTGCTGACATTGCTCTCACTCTCCCGGCTGCACAGGGATCCTCTTCTCTCTGTCTTGTTCAAGGCAGAGATGGAGTTGCAGAGTTGACTTCCATGTTCTCTGTTTCCTCACAGGTTGGGAAGCAGCAGTCCCTGGCATTGTTTTCACATTCCTAGCTGCGCAGGGAGCTTTTCCTCCTGTCCACAAGGCAGAGCTGCTCCTATTTCCTGGGGAGGCCAACTGCAGAGTGAAAGTAGAGTGCCTGAAATACAGAAGAGAAATAGAGACCTGGGACTGTTCAGCCTTGAACAGAGAGGGTTCAGGGGTACCTTACAAATGTGTATATATAACTTTGGCAGGTGTGAAGAAGGTGGAACCAGGCCCTTCTCAGCACTGTCCAGTGGAAGCAATGGACACAAATTAAAATACAAAGGAATTACGTTTAAATGTTAAAACCCATCTTTCTTCCTGTGAAGGTGGTCAAACATAGGTTTTTCAGAGAGGTCGTGGATTCTCTGTACTTGGACATACTCAGAACCCAACTGGACTTGGTCCTGAGCAGCCTGCAGTAGCTAACCTGTTATAGGGAAGGGGGCTCAACTAGGCTATCTAGACGTCCCTTTCTGCCTCAGCCATTTGTGATGCAAGTGTACATTTTACCAACCTTCACGACCCTATTGTTCAGTTAATAGATTATGTACAAATAATAGCACTGTGTTATGCCTTCATGTGCTCCACACAGCCATAACTGGAAAAATGCATTTCCCTAGTTGTTGGGTCAGAAATAAGTCTTGAGTATATAAAGGAAAAACTGTTGGCCCATTGAGGCTAATGTGTCACTTGGAGGCAAGGCTCACACAGTGCTGAGTTATTCATGCCAACCTTGCTGTGTTGTTTGCTGCAGTTCTGATTTCCTAACAAGGTGGAGCAGTGAGAACAGCGCTGCTGCTTGGTGACTGAAGGAGAGAGATGTAGGATGTTTTATTACTGGTGAGGAGATAAAAGGGCTGAGTTAATTTGTTCTGAGCAGATGTAGTAAGAGGCAAGGATTCTGTTGTGTTTGTGTGTGTACAGCATGAAGACAATAACACCGCTTGGACTTTCTGTTATTGATTTTTAAAGGTTTATGACTGTATTTAGACCTGTCCTACTATTTTTTTATTTTATTTTGAGAACTGATGGCCTTAGTTGTATTTCAGGTTACCTCGTTACTGTAACCTACACCGTTCAGCATCTGAAACTTGGAAAATTATTAGCATTTCTTAAAAGATTGGGGGGAAAAAAACAACCAAACAAAAAAACAGTCCTCATTCAATAAATATTCTGTACGTGAGTAAAATCTCCTAGTAACATAAATCACTAGGGTCATCCTATATGCTATTGAAAAGCAGCATACTTCTAAATCTAAGAATGTGAAAAACGTCTCACTTATGACAACTCTTTCCCTGTAATTCATTTTTTTCAGGCTGCTACACCTTCCTCTTCTTCAGATAAATTGGATTTCTTCCCAGGTGTGTCAGAGAAGACCCAGATTCTGTCCACAGTGTCCCCAGAGAACATCACTGAAGGTGGGATCACGCTACTTCCCACTAGTACTGTGCCATCTGAGCCCGTGCAGCAGTTCACACCACCCGCTACTGCTGCTGAAGCAGGTGATGTTTCAACGTAGCTGGAGATCTGAGGGGTACCTGCAGGCTGGACTGCGGGTGGGGGTGGCTTTACTGCTGTCAGGTTGTTAGTATGAGCTTGTTCTTTATCCAAATGGTACATAATCAGTCCCACTTTAAGCCTGTACACCTGTTGTAACGCTGCAAACCCCAGGCCTTGAGCAAGTTAATTCTGTGGCAAAACTCTGACCAAGTCCATCATTAATGGGAAATTGCAACTCAAGCAAATAAAGCAAAGTAAAAAGTGGAGGTTAAGAGCCTCTTTTTAAATGGGTTAATTTTTATAGTTGGTGAGCAATACCGGTGACTTTCTGGGGTTTCAGAGTAGTCTCTTCTAGCCATACAGTTATTTTTGTGTGACTTCAGAACATTGATCCCTCTCAGAAACTCTCCAGTAGGCTTCCCACTATCTGCAGATGTCAGGTAACATGCAGCAACACAGGTGGGACCTGAGGAAGCTCAGTCCTTAGTAGAGGAGAAGCCTAGCCCTTAGCATGGGAGAATATGACCTTCTCATCCTGGGAAAAGAAAGTTTCACTGCAGTTTCAAAACTGTGAGGAAGCTTATCACACTTCCAGCTGCAGAGCAATTTTTTTTTTTTATTTTGAAAAGGATGTTTAACCACTATGTCCCCTGTAACTATGTTAAATTCTCTGTGTGTGTGTGTTCATGTGTGTGTTAGTATCTCCTTTCTCCTGCTGAGTTTTCCCTGGGCACCCTGACAAAGGGTTAGAAGGGCCACAAGAAGCAGAAAAGCAGAGATGTGTGTTTTTCTGCCCTCCTGATGCTCCAAGGGATATGGAGAGCTAAGCCCTTTGCTTCCTGGTAGAGCAAGTCTGGTTTGGGATATTCTTGGCACCCTGCCAGACAGGATAGCAATGGAAGGTAACAGGAAGAGATGAGCTACAAGACATTCCTCCTCAAGACAATGGATCATCCTTACCATTGACTGTTGACTAGGCAGCTCCTCCTCCTCCTCCTTCACAGGAGGAGGTTGAAGAGGGCTCACAAAGGAGTTTGGAAGAAGAAGCTTAAGGGAAGGTTGTGATGAATCTCACCATAAGGTACTGATTTAAACAGGGATTGCCTCAAGTTTTTGTGTTCTCAGGCCAATGGCAGTTCCTCCTTCTCTCCTTTGGTCATCACCCTCTTCTAGCCTTGTTATTCTCCTCTCACGTGGAGGTCCAGGTGCAAACTTCCACTCCACAGGTGTCTGGGGCAACTCCCGTGATCAGTTGTGGAGCCTTGGGTGAATTTAACTAGCAGTGACAGAAAGTGTGCTGCCAGGGTGGCCTCTTCACCTCATCCATTTTTAGACCCATCAGCTGCCACTGCTGAGTAGCCTCTTGCTCATCTATTCCAAGTTCGTAAGTTGGACGTTTATTCACCGGTGAATGTTGCCTTTGGAGAACCTTTGTTCTGTGGTTTCCCAATATGAAAAGGAAGACATTTAAAACCTTTGAAATATGTTTCTGTTGGGGACTGTGTTTGTGTGCTTAGGCATTTTTTGGAAGAGGAAAGAGTTTTCACAGACGAGAACTGGATAGCAAATGGATTGAATGTGCAGTTCAGATATGAAATAACACATTTGCTCTGCTATACAAGGGGAGTTTTTAAAAGGGACGCCGAGATGGACATTGGAGCATGACATACAAGTGCCACACAAACATAGAAGTAGTGCTTCTTGGTGAAAAAAAGTGTGATATTTGAGTTTTGATATGAGCTCTGATACTTTATTTAATGATATTTATTCTAGTGCAAATAGCTTTTTTATCTTCTGTAACTCTGTAGTCTTCAAACTCCTGCATTTCTATCCAGTTACTGATAAAAATGCATCATTTTTTATGTAGAGCAGTGTTACCTGTGATGTACTGGAATAATCTGAATACTTTTCTCTAAAACAGAAGTAGGGAAAATGACAATTCACAGATGGGGAAGAAGAAGAACTTTGTTTTGGTGGAAGATGAGGGGACCACAGTTATGATTATAATAGATTATTTTCTTATGTATTGTGGATTTTTTTTGTTATTCTTGCTTGTTCCCTGTGTAGAGTCTTTGTCAAATTTTAATTAATCCATTGCAAATAATATTTGAAGGTACTAAATTTATATCATTTCCATCTGTTATAACATAATTTATTTGTTCTGTCTTAGATACAGTAAAAGAACTTATTGTGTCTGCTGGAGATAACGTACAAGTGATGCTACCCAAAAATGAGGTTGAACTGAATGCCTTTGCCGTCCCACCACCATCTACAGGTGAGTGGAATAGCCTTGGTGTACAAGGAGATGCACACACTACCAGCCTGTAAATGCAGACAAGTTCTGAGTTGTGTGAACATCTGCACCTTAGGATAAAACAGTTTTCCTCATTTCCTACTACTGCCTCTTTTGTGGCTCCAACTGCGGAGAGGATTTCCTCCTTTGGATTTTAAGGATGAATTTTTCTAAGTGGCTTTTATTTTTGGAACCTAAACTCTTTAGCCAGAGAGGGTTCAAAAAAGAGCCTGTAATTTCTGCTAAAAGATGATGTGGCCCAGTTTATAGCATCTTGCTGTAAAGTGGGAGGGAAGCGGGGAAAGCAGGTTTTGATTTTGAATGCAGCATTTACCTTAAAACTGCCAGGTTCTGAATTATAGCAGCAATTAATACATATTACATAGATAGCTGTGTAAAACATGCTTACTTCATGTGAAGCTGGTTTTTGTGAAGAAGATTATTTGTGAAGTCCATTACATCCTTGCTGCTTTACCGAGTTGAATGACACTGAATATTTAATATGCATTCATACCGCTCCATTTCGCAGGTTTAAACAGTAGCAGTCATGATTTCCTACGGTAGCATTTCATCTGATGGATGGTGAACTTGATTTCTTTTGTTTTCTTACCTCGAAGGCAGAACTGATTGCTCTTACGCTGTGTTATTGCTCTTAGAAACAGCCTACACCTATGAGTGGAGCTTAATCAGCCACCCTGCTGACTACGGTGGTGAAATGGAGCACAGGCACAGCCAGACTTTGAAGCTCTCTCACGTAAGTGAGCTGTAAGCTCAGGCTCATTGTGTCTGTGTGGTCCTTTCACAGAATTGTAACCTGTGGGGAAAGGTACCCTGATTCAAGGAGTTCAGATGACCTCGAGTCATCTGGAATGTCTTCACCTGTGTGTGTCACCAAATCCATGCCAGATTAGAAGTGTCTTTTTTAGAGTGCTCCAATAATTTTCTAAATAGAGGAAAAATTCCTCTTTGCTTCATATTCCCCACTTCCAGGCAGTGAGTAGTGGTCTTTTGTGTATGTGTTTATAAAAGTAGCTTGAGGATTCAGATATACAGATTGTTTACAGTATGATTATCAGATTTATGCATACTGTTTTTGGATAATTCAATATGTAACCCAATTTGTTCCGTCTTTATCTCAGTTATCAGTTGGACTTTATGCCTTCAAAGTGACAGTTTCTGGTGAAAATGCCTTTGGTGAAGGTTTTGTAAATGTCACAGTCAATCCAGGTAAGTCAGTTGGCTGAAATAATTAAATTTTTCAACACAAGTAGTTGTACAGCGTGCTTATCTCCTCATACATATCTGTTACTGTTTGTCAAGGACATCTGGCAGTCCAGTCATGTTAACATGTTTCACATCTTGGTGTCTATAAAGGGTTTTAAGGAAGTAGAGCTAAGGAGCTTGCTCACTGTGTTTAAGAGCTTTCTGGTCTTTCACCCTCCTCAGGCAAAGCCCAAGATAGCGTCATGCCACCTTTTATGATTCCTTCTCCAGTACAGCACTTAGGCACTGATCTGGCTCTGTCTGCAAATTACAGCGCGTGGGTCTGATCTGAATTACACCAGTTAGAAGCGGCTGCAGGGGGAAAATGCTGTGTCAGCACACTGCAATTCAGTAACCTTTTCTCTCCCTTGTCCAAAAAGGACAGCAGATGCTGCTGCAAAGCTGTCTGATCTAGATTTAATCACTGGGGACTATTGATCTGTAAACTTAACATTCGTTTTGCCTGGGTTCTCACTAATCCTTTTCCTTCTTCTCTTGCCTTTCTTACAGCCCTCAGAGTTAACCAGCCACCTGTTGCTGTTGCTTCCCCCAGAGTACAAGAAGTTTCCTTGCCTACAACTTCCACCTTCATCGATGGCAGTCGTATGTACCTGGACCATCCTGTTCTTATATCCTGTATTTTTAATATACAGTTACAACATTATTGTTTGGCAATTATAAGTGGAATTCCTTCTTCTCACTCTTCTCAGAAGTTCCCTGATGAATCATGATTTATTTTGGGGATTTGGGTCCAGTTATAAATTATTTTAATAAATTTTAAAATGCAGCCTTCCACTTGGAGATTGAGATGCAGTGTGTCAGGGGCTGCTGCATCCAAACAGCATAGCTACCCTTACAGCTTCTTCTGTGCCAGTACAACTGGGGTCTTGGTAGAGAGCTGTCACATCAGGTGTGGTGAGATGTTGTAATTATATTCATAATTACTGAGAGCAGACAAGTTGGAATGTGCAAAGTCTGAGACCTTTTTTTTTTTTTTTAAATTCATGTGTATGGAAAAATTGTTCAGAAAAATCATACCGAAGGTAACTTGGAATCTGTGGTTCATGAAGCCTTTTCAAATATACTTGAAGAGACAGTTGTAGAAAATCAGTTAGAGATGAGTGTGTGAAAGACTTTAGTATTCATTTCATCAATTGCTACAAGAAACTGATGTGTTTTTCTTTAATGAATGTAGAAAGTATAGATGATATGAAGATAGTGAGTTACCACTGGGAGGAAATTAAAGGTCCCTTGCGCGAGCAGAAGGCATCTGCTGACACGCCTGTCTTGCACTTGTCTAACCTTGTTCCTGGAAACTACACTTTCAGGTACCTGCACAGATGCTTTTCTTTGGGGTTTTAACTATTTCTGTGATGTCAGCTAAATGTTTGTTTCCCTTTATGCTCGTATCTACTTCCTCAGACAGAAAATTTCATTTTTCTTCTGCATGCTGTTACCCTTCATTTTGCACAGAGGGGAGACTTAGGGAGCAGTTTTATGAAAAAGTGCTTGCAATGGTTTTGTGATACCAGCATAGTGATATTTTTCAGCACAATGTTATGTAAATTAAATACCTCCCACTTCCAGTAATAGCAACTGTGACAAAATTCTTTTTATTACTTTTTTCCCCAGCTTAGAAGATAGCCAGTGCCCTGAGATGAAATTATGCAGGGAGAGTGTGAAAGTCATCCCCTGAAAGGTGGTGGCAGACAGAATAATATTGGCAAACTGATCCTCACAAGACACTGTTATGTGCTGATTTTACTGAGACTCATTCTGTTCTTCGTAAAAGCCTTTGCTCTGCTTCTGGTTTCCTCTAATTATGCACTACCGAAGCTGGGTTTTGTCCCAGACAGTGGAAGCAATGCTTGTGGTTTGGGGTGCTTAATTAAAATCAGAGTCCCTTTTCTGAACTTTTTAACTTAAAGCCTAGGCTTCACAAAGGCAGACTTCCCACTGACCCAGCTTGGGTTCTTTGGCTACCAGTCAGTATATTGTCTGTCAGTGTAGCATCAGCAGAATGTTGAAGCCATCATACACAAACATTAAATGTGGGGGTTTGCCAAAGCTTCACCAAAAGTTCTACAGCTTCTACTTTCATTCTGTGTTCTTTACTGGAATTATTCCATATTGTACAGTAGCAGAATTTTTTTCCATATTGAAAAAAGGCAGAGCTTTCTTGCAAGTAATACTTTCAAGTGTGTTCCAAAGCTAGGGAATTAAGAAATTAGTGGTTATATCTCTGCACCTTTGAGGGAGGCTGACTTACTTGGGCAACAGAGCAGTATGTTCAAGTTGACATGAAAATAGCTGGTCAACAAAATCCAGTGCTCTTGATATGCATGGATCTGCACCCATTGCAGAAAGTATGTGTTCCCTAATGACAGAATGAATGAGCACTAATTTTGTTCTCACTCAGGTTCCCTTCCATGTGGCCAGCTGTTTTCAGAACAGAGGTGGATTAGAGATTAGTCAGCCACCACACCGTGGAGGGCAGGTTTCATCCCCTTCAAGTGTCTGCAACAGTCTCATTTTAAGATGATTTGATTTTGTGTTTCTGAGAGGCAATAATGTTTGAGGTTTTTTAAACCTTGTACATTTTTAGTTTTGTTACTTGACATTGATATTAAGCTCCATTAAAATTAGTAATAGTGTGCCATGAAGAAATGCAAAGTTAGGATCTGCTGCTGTGCTATAAGTAGAGCCTTTGAACATCCAGAGCAGTTCTAGTTATATATATTGACAGGGGCTTTTTCACTATGGCTGATGAATGAAATCTCTGGTTTTTACTGAGTACGCTTTTAAAAGAGTTTGCAGTGAAATCTGTTTGAAATTGAAGTTACCATTGGCTGCAGACAGAGGGTTTCATCTGGGATCCAGAATAGCTAGGCATTTTTTTTTCCCCAAAGGTTGAAAGCTCTATTTGTAAACAGTTTTCTGAATTTCTTTCCTATTTGGTTGGGGGTTATGCCTGTCTGAAGGAGAAGTTCGTATAATCTAATCAGTGTCTCTGGTTTACGTAGTGTTTGAAAAAGTACCTGAAAAAATAAGTCTTTGAATTTAGATCTTGGCAGAAGTCCATCTTAACAGATACTGCTTTTCTACTGTAGACTCACGGTGATTGATTCAGATGGAGCAGCGAACTCCACCATTGCTTTTCTGACTGTCAACAAACCAGTGGATTACCCACCCATTGCTAACGCAGGACCTAATCAGGCAGTCACCTTGCCCCAGAACTTCATCACGCTGAATGGGAACCAGAGCAGTGACGACCACGAAATTGTCAGCTACGAGTGGTCACTCAGTCCCAAAAGCAAAGGCAAGGTTGTAGCAATGCAGGTATGTCATTTCTTCTTGCATAGCATTGGAAAGCTCTTTTGTCTTTGCCTCTAACATGAGCAAACACATACCTAAGTAACTGCTCAGAAACACTGAAATATCTAGAATGATGTTACACTTTTTGTTGTTGTTGTTGTTGTTGTTGTCCTCTTAGATGTATTCAGCTCTTATTTTAGATACTACTTTTAATTCCTGATCATAATTTTTTTTTATTCTGTGGGTCCAAACAAACACTGTTATTTGTTCTCTGGTGGTTTTGAAATGCGTCAAGTTCACGTTGTCTGTCCTTGAACCAGCTTCGCAGGTTCCCATCTTCTGAGGTGCTGCATACTGAAAACTGATTGTGAGAGGATGGGGGGGTAGTCAGAATTTTCTTGCAGTGCTTCTTTCTGGAGAGAGTAGAACTCAAATGGAAGCTTGATTTTTTGAATTGACATGAAAGATGGCAAGACCTTTGGCAGTGTTATGTAGCCATGCTCTGTGGTGGGTTTTTATGCTCACTAAGACATGGATTTCCACTGAGGGCTTATGAAAGGATCAGGTTGCTGAAAGCCCCATCCAACCTGTCCTTGAACACTTCCCAGGGATGGGACATCCACAGCTTCTCTGGGCAACCTGTTCCAGTATTTCACCACACTGAATAAACAATTTCTTCAAATGTCTAAGCTAAGCTTGCACTCTTTCAGTTTGAAGCCATTCCCTCTTGCCCTGCCACTATCTACCTATATAAAAAGTCTCTCCCCCTACTTTTTGTAAGCCCCCTTTAGGTACTGCAAGGTGCTATAAGGTCTTCTCTTCTCTAGGCTGAACAACCCCAACTCTTTCAGCCTGTTTTCATAGGAGAGGTGCTCCAGCCCCCTGATCTATCTTCATGGACCTTCTCTGGACCTGTTCCAGAGGATGCTGGTCTCTGGTGTGGTATCCACTGTTAGAGTTAAATGCTGATTAGTTAATAGTTTATCAGGTCCCTTAATTTTCATTATCATCTTTATCCAAAAAAGCCCCCAAACGTAATTGCATTGTGATTTGTTATTCCTCATATGAGAGATGCCACAAATGTTCATTTTGTTAGAAAAAGGACCTGTAGCTGAGCCCAGTCATTTTATGAGCTTATATAGATATCAGCTAATACTCTTGAAGAGTAAATTCAGGAAAGATTTGTCTTGTTTGATATGGTTTTTTTTTTCCCTATAAGCCTGTCTTTCTGGGTTCAATTCCGATTTTGCATTTAACAATCTTTATAAATTTTAACAAACGTCATGAGATTTGTTTTTAAAATATCCCTAAAGAAATGTAATGAGTTGTATTTATGAAATAAACCGTTTTTTTTCCCTCATGTTTGCCCTGTAAGACCTTTCTTTACCCATTAAACATTCCTGTTTTATCTCATGCTTTGTCTTGGTAAACGTTGTGAAGGGAGTGCGGACGCCGTACCTCCAGTTATCTGCAATGCAGGAAGGAGATTACACGTTCCAGCTGACTGTCACAGACTCTGCGAGGCAGCGGTCCACGGCTGAGGTCACACTGATTGTGCAGCCAGGTGAGTCACCTGCAGGCACCTCTGGAGGGGGCCAGCCCAATGCCTTAGCGCTGTTTTCCACTGCCTTATCTCCCCACAGCGCAGGGATGTCTGGTATCCCTGCATCAAGGACTCTTCCCACCCCTGTTTTCTGTCAAAGCAGACGGTTAAAACAAGAGTAGAGTCGTAAAAGACCAGGTGGTGATCCTGAGGGCTCACACCAGCCTGATTATGCAAGGCAGCCTGCACAGAGATCTGTTCGAGTGCTTCTAGAAGCTAAATTGTATCTCGTTGGTTTAAAATCCATTTTGAAAGCTTTTCAGAGTATCAATCAGTGCTTTGCTCAGTTTTCTTATTGCTTTGCAGCATTGTTGTGCAAGAGCCCTTGTGTGGTTTGAATTCTCACCAGAATTACATTGTGTTTTCTAGGAAAAAAGTGTCAAGCAAGGGGTTTTCAAAAGCTGCATCTTTCACATGCTTGTTTAGGTTTGGGAGCCCAGAGATGAATGAGCCCAAATGGTCCCGGCCTCATGAGATTTTTTTTTTTTTTAATACCTTTTCTTTTTGTAATGTTTTTACCTCCTACAATCCAAAGTGGTTTTTTCTGCCAATGTGAAGGTTTCCCATTCCACCATGGGGCAATGTTTTATCTTCTTCTTGTTGCTTAATAAATATCTTTTTTATAGATGATCCCTTCTGGCACAACTTTACAGTGGGCATTTACTGCAGAAATCAGGGACATGAATTGAAAGTACAGTGTGTGGTGGTGCCTTTAAGACCTATTATAGTGTGCAGCTAGAAAGATGCTATTGCTGAAGTCAGGCCTAAGGGCAGATCAATACCCAGGAAGGTGGCAACGTTGCCAGTTTTACCATACCATAAAAGCAGAGGCTTCAATCAGAGTAACAGGTTATATGTTTTTGCACTAAATCCTCGAAGGCTCTGAGCTGGGATTAGCTTAGTGGCATCGTGCTGACCTTGAGCAGCAGAAAACACAGGTCAGCATCTTCTTTGAGGGCAAAGAACCATGTGGGAGGTTTTGAAAGGGATGGAGCAGTAGGACCACGAGAATACCCCACCACTCCTGTTATGTAGCATTTCATGTAAGGCATTGAGCATGCAGCAAAATTTTTGGGAGTGTGACTGTGCCTGCAGTGCAAAGGGGAAACATTTGCTGTGGTATTTGGCTTGTTGCAAAGCTGATCTCTCCTACCTGCTGGCTTGTACATGTTATACTTGTGATTTGTGCTTTTAGAGCCAATATAGCAATTTTTAAATAAAATATTATGTGTGAAATCTTCCCTCTGATTGGAAAAGCTTGCCAGTGACTACCTAGCAAATGCCATGCACTAAATATTATTTTTCAGAAAATAACAGTCCTCCAGTAGCAGTGGCTGGCCCTGACAAAGAATTGACCTTCCCAGTAGAAAGTGCTACACTGGATGGAAGCAAAAGTCAAGATGACCAAGGCATTGTCTTCTATCATTGGGAAAATATCAGGTACCTAGAGATTTTTCTAATCTCCAGTAAAATAGAGAGCAAAGTGAAAGTGCTTTGGTTTAGGGCCTCTTATGCAATTGTGTCAGGTGATGCACTGTTTGAGAATTGCTTTCAGGACCTTCCCACTTGGGTGGTAATAGGGTGAGAAGCAGTAATTTTAAGTTCAGCTTGAAAAGCTTAGGCAGCCTCTGTGTGTGTTCTGCAATGTGTCATTTTGAGGCCTACTTTTATAAAATCAGGAGAAAGTGACAGGAACTTCTGTGTCTCCTATTTAAAAAGGAAGTAGCAGACTTGGGTACCCTCCTGTAATATATGGAGTTTTCCCATTAGTGCTTAGAACCAGGGCTTCTCAGTTACTTGTTAATTGAATAATAAAGTAAATTGACAGTCAGTTCACCCTGAACTTTCGGTAATGGATGACTAAAGCAGTCTTGAGTGATGATTGAAAATGTTTTTAAAAAGTTTGTGTGTTTATGTGCAAATCTAACTGATCCTTGATAAAAGGACAAGCTATTAGCTCGTGCAAGCATCATACCTGGTACAGGAAGAGGTTTGCTGGCAGCCAGTACATGTTGTGAGTGGCTCTTAGAGCAATATCATCTGCACGCTCCATGAAATAGTACAGTGGTGAGATTGAACTTCTGGGTTGCATTTTCTGCTCTTCTAATAACTGGGCATGTTGTGTTTGGGTGCTTTGAATGCCTTTAAAAAATGCATTTATGCATTTTCTAAACTCATGTCTCATATAGTTCTTTAGCCATCAGTGCTGTAAAATAACAGCAAATGGCACGAGCAGTGCTGCTGAACAAATGGTTTGGCTGGCTGTGCAGGATTATTTTTCTTGTTTTGTTTCAGTGGACCAAGCTCTGTCCAGATGGAAAATGATGACAAAGCAATAGCGACTGTGACTGGTCTTCAAGTTGGTACCTATCGCTTCAGGCTGACCGTGAGAGACCAACAGGGCTTAAGCAGCGCATCTGTGCTGTCTATAACCGTGAAGGAAGGTAAGCCTTGAAGGCAGGTAAGCCTTCCAGCCTGGTTGCTGCTTCTTGGGATGTGGTGGGCAACTTGCCAGTTAATTCAATTGCTGACAGAACATAAAGGAAATGAGAACAGAAAGTTATTAATATCTTTGTTGTCGTATTTCAGGGCTGTTCAGTAAGACTTGTCTGCTGTTCTGTGATAAAGTAGTATTGTAAGTGACTGGCAGAATTAGTTTTGTTTGCTGCAAGATTTATTTTTAGGCTCAGTATATGCAAAATTAGGTGTCATAAAAATGTTCCAAATTAATATTGTTGAGAGTGATATGTCTACATCATTAAGAAGATACGTTTTTATTTTATTTTTGAAGTTAAGCTTTGAGCAGAAAAGCAGTTTTACTGTGGATTTTAAGTAACCTCCAAGAAGCGACATCTCAGTGAATCAAATTCCATGTAAAAATTTAGTATTAAGAGACCTGTTTGTTGCTTTGGTTTTTTGTTGTTGTTTTTTCTTTTCTGTAGAGGGAAACAGCTGCTGTGGTATGTGGTTTAGGTGATTTGGAGTCTTTGTTTAGTCCACTGCTTTTATTTGAAAGAGACAAGATCCCTTGTATCACAGAAAACTCTCTGCTGTTCCAAAGAATAGAGTTATAGCCAATGCCCTTTAGATCTGCTCAACAGTGAATTATTTATCTCCAACTAATTATGTCCAGTGAGGTATTTCACTCAGCCCCACAGGTTGCTCAATCTCTGTCTTATCAGTTGTGTTCTAAAGAAAATTCAGTGATGTTGGAGAGAATGTTTCTGTTTCTTTGGCTTTTTTTTTTTTTTTTTTGCCATGTGCCCACTGTGTGCCTTACTCTCACTACTAGTGGTAAGCAGTGAGAACTAGATTTACCCTTAAATTTCCTGACTGCCTAAATACAGGCATTATGAAGATACAGGTTCTTGCACAAGATTCTACTGGGTAATAAGTGATTCTCCAGATGAAAAGATCCCAGCATGGTGATCTCATGCTGGACCATGTTTCTAAGTAGGTGGAAGGTTTTTTTGCTTGACTGAGATCTGATGTTTAAATTATTGTGAGATTGTAAATAGAATATTCCACAATTCATTTTGAAAAAGATCTTTCTTCTCATGGTGCAGCTCTGCTTTTGTTAGACTGTAATAATCCTGAAGCCAAATTTTGTATACCCATTCATCCTTCCCCTGTAGCTTTAACATGAGGTTGTGTTGTTACTGTCTGCAATCATCAGGTAAAGAATTGGAGTGTGGGTGTATTGGCAATGACAGGTCACATTTCTCATGTTTTGAAAGCAAACCTTTATCCTCCACTATTTTTGTACCTAGAAAACAACAGTCCACCCCGGGCGCGTGCCGGTGGGAAACATGTTCTCGTGCTTCCAAATAACTCTGTTACCTTGGATGGCTCAAGGTCTGCTGATGACCAGGGAATTGTGTCATATCTGTGGATTCGGGATGGTCAGAGCCCAGCAGCTGGGGTAAGTGTCTCCAGGGCTGTAATGAGTCAAATTCAGCTTTTGTTACGCATGTAGTGTCGTTGCAGCCAGGAGAGCAGGTGTGACTGATAAGATGCTGTGATGTGCGGTGTCTGTTTCTGGTTTGTCTCCCCTGCTTCTGTAATGCTGTGGTTCAAAGGGGTCGTGATATTTTCAGTACAGCTAGAGAATATGATCGCTAAGGAAGAGCACTGCAGCAATGTGGACTTAGTTGGGGAAGAGTGGAGACAAGAATAAAGCGTTGTCTGTCTTAGAGTAATTGGTGATAGTATCAAGCTAATGTGTTAGAGAGAAAAATCATCTGAAATCCAGCTGTTCTGGAGGAGTAAGGATCTGAGAGAACAAGAAGTACTGATAAAGACTAAGGGATCATGTCTGCTATCAGATGAGGTAAAACCTGCAGTTTAAGATAAAAATGGTATTTGGCGCTAGACGTGTAGATACTTTGCTGGCAGACCATGGTGAATAGCCTGGGTCATTAGGGCAGAGGAATCTGCTCTCTGAGAGAGGCAGAAAGCAGAAATACCTCATGATAAACTAAATGTCCTACTCAACCTAGGATAACTTGTTTTCCCTATCTCACAAAGTGTCGTGGACGGCTCTTTGTGCTTAGGAAGATACTGAAAAATCAGCAAGTGCTGAGAGAGGAGAAACAGCAAAATCCAAACAAAGCTTTTAGAGGCAATTCACATGAGGGTGTAAAAAATGAAGAGGTTTAGCTTAAATATAGCTGGCAGACTTGATAGCTGAAAATACATGAACTCTAAGGAAAGGAAATTAAGAGTTAAGAAAGCAGAACTAAGGATGCTGGAATAAAATAGAGAAATAGTAATGTAACTGTCTCAGATTTTCAAGCAAATGAGTTCTTCTGATTGTCAGCTGTTCTTTCTGGGGTATTTTTAATGAAAATATCCATACTGTGCAGACATCCTCACTAACTTTCACTTCCAAATTGTCCTTACTCTGCTGTAAACTAGGGGTAGGTCACATTTGTCCTGAATGCCAAAGCAAGAACTCACACTGTCATACCAGATAGCCAACCTGATGGTCAAACCTGCAGCTTTCCCTGCAAGGGTAGTTATTCCAGTACCTTTTTTTTTTTTTTTGCAGGATGTGATCCATGGCTCAGACCACGAGGCAGTACTGCAGCTAACTAATCTGGTGGAAGGAACCTACACTTTCCATCTGAAAGTGACGGATGCTAAAGGGGACTCAGATGTTGATTCAGCAACTGTTGAAGTGCGGCCTGGTATGACAATTAAAAGGTCCTCGATACGTTGTGAATACCACATCTTTGTTACTCCTTTTCACTTATTATTTAGATGTTGGCAAGATTCTCTCAAAGCAAACAGGTCTCTCTCTTCCTACCTTCCTACTGTTCTCTGAATAGGCCCGAGCGTGTTAGAAGATGACGTGTTAGGGATTCCTAATTGCTACTACAGCCTTAGTGGAAGCATCAGTAAATAAGAATTATACTTTCTAGTTAATATTTTCGTTAG